CATCAACACTTCCACTTGGCACTTGGCACGGTCAACCAAAGAGTGGTGGATCGGGCTCACGACTCTACCATACCTAATAGGAAGGCCATGGCTACCCTCTCTATGCTCACCTCTTGGACAATCTGGAATGAAAGGAGCGCTCGCATCTTCCAACTCAAGAGTGCCCCACCGACGGTTCTACTAGCTAACATCAAGATTGAGGCTCAAACTTGGGTCACCGCGGGTGCAAAGAAATTGGGATCTATAATGCCGTGAGAGTAGGCCTGTTGTAGTGGTGTTGTAACACAAACTTTAAACTCCTTTTCCCCCTCTTAATTAATGAATGAGGCAAGTCTTTTGCCTCCTTTCAAAAAAGTATTGGAGCAAGAGCAACTCTAGTAGAGTCACTATGTTCGCATCCTCAATCACACGTATTGGAGTGTGTTTCATAATACTATACAGACTGCCGAGGTGATGCATAAATGCAAAATCTACATAAATCAACTTAAAAAAAATCCATGTGAGACATGTTTGCCATTGGATATAAGACCTCTTGCTACCTCATCTCAACAATGGACGTTGTTTCTGATGGATCAACATTGAATCCAACAACAATGACAAAGATTTGAACAACCATTTAAACTACTATTCTTTTCTATAATTTGGACTGTGGGCTCTTCCTCCATTTGGAAGTGACCTCACTGGCGGGGAGGCTTCGGCTGTGGCGACTTTCGCAACATGTGGTTGATGGACACATACGCGGTCATATTTTTTAAGCCAAGCATGAGCGCAACGTCCATTTCTGCCAAGGTGGTTGTGATACGTCTCCATCGTATCTACTTTTCTAAACACTTTTGCCCTTGTTTTGGACTCTAACTTGCATGATTTGAATGGAACTAACCCGGACTGACGCTGTTTTCAGCAGAATTGTCATGGTGTTATTTTTGTGCAGAAATAAAAGTTCTCGGAATGACCTGAGAATCAACGGAGAATTATTTTGGAATATATAAAAAATACTGGAAGAAGAATCCACGTTAGGGGGGCTCCACCTGTCCACGAGGGTGGGGGGGCGCCTGCCCCCTGCCTCGTGGGCCCCCTGACGCTCCACCGAACTCAACCTTGACTCCATATATTCACTTTCAGGGAGAAAAAACCAGAGAGAAGGATTCATCGCGTTTTACGATACGGAGCCGCCGCCAAGCCCTAAACTCTCTCGAGAGGGCTGATCTGGAGTCCGTTCGAGGCTCCAGAGAGGGGAATCCGTCGCCATCGTCATCATCAACCTTCCTCCATCACCAATTTCATGATGCTCACCGCCGTGCGTGAGTAATTCCATCGTAGGCTTGCTGGACGGTGATGGGTTGGATGAGATTTATCATGTAATCGAGTTAGTTTTGTTACGGTTTGATCCCTAGTATCCACTATGTTCTGAGATTGATGTTGCTATGCATTTGCTATGCTTAATGCTTTTCACTAGGGCCCGAGTGCCATAATTTAAGATCTGAACCTATTATGTTTTCATCAATATATGAGAGTTCTTGATCCTATCTTGCAAGTCTATAGTCACCTACTATGTGTTATGATCCGGCAAGCCCGAAGTGACAGTAGTCGGGACCACTCCCAGTGATGACCGTAGTTTGAGGAGTTCATATATTCACTATGTGTTAATGCTTTGGTCTGATACTCTATTAAAAGGAGGCCTTAATATCCCCTAGTTTCCAATAGGACCCCGCTGCCATGGGAGGGTAGGACAAAAGATGTCATGCAAGTTCTTTTCCATAAGAACGTATGACTATATTCGGAATACATGCCTACATTATATTGATGAACTAGAGCTAGTTCTGTGTCACCCTAGGTTATGACTATTACATGATCGATCACATCCGGCATAATTATCTATCACCGATCCATTGCCTATGAGATTTCCATATATTGCTCTTCGCTTATTTACTTTTCTGTTGCTATTGTTACAATCACTATAAAACACCAAAAATATTACTTTTGCTACCGTTACTTCTGTTATCGTTACCACTACTATCATATTATTTTGCTACTAAATACCTTGCTGTAGATATTACGTTTCCAGGTGTGGTTGAATTGACAACTCAGCTGCTAATACTTGAGAATATTCTTTGGCTCCCATTGTGCCGAATCAATAAATTTGGGTTGAATACTCTACCCTCGAAAACTGTTGCGATCCCCTATACTTGTGGGTTATCAGGCTGCTAACATTCAGACAAAGTAGCAGAGAGCGGCGGGGAGGCGCCCCAAACCGACAGCTGATTCAACCTTATGGATGTGTCCTCCTCGACCCATTGGGAGTAGTTACACGCCCACTCACAGGACTCTCTTTGATCTAGTCCTCTTCGGTCTCGCCAGGGAAAAGTCCAAAAGAGGGCGCAACTGCCATGATATGGTAGATGGGGATGAGTGTGACGACGTCGTGGAAGGGGAATATAGAGGGGCAGACCGGTGTTGTCAAAGATGGCAGATGGTTGAGTGGCGTCGTCGAGTGAAGTGGTCCGTTTTATATACCTGCGAATGGGCGTGCTTCGGCGGGAAACAAAGCCATATTTGACATGCACGGGGGTGGAAAACGAGTGTGAAACAAGGTGGTGGCCATTTATTGACGCTCGTCCCGATGGGAAAATGGTCGCGTCATTAGTAAGGGTGGAAGCGCCAAGCATACGAAAGCACCAATGACCGGGCTCCGGGCGGGAGGAAGAGGCTGGGCTGAAACTTCCCCCTGCGCCAGAGGTTACTTTTGGAGGCTGTTCCATGTCAACGAACCTAGCCTTCAAATATAGAGGCTAGAGGGCTCGATTTGGAGTGGCCTCCATAGATTATGTAAGCTGGGGGCGTATGGGGCGACTGTCGGAGTGTATACTCAAGACGTCCGGGATTGAGGATACTTTGTTTTTGTGTGTTCGGCCAAGTGATAAAATGCTCTGTGTTTCTTCGAGTAAGCTATAAGAGAGACACAAAGATTTCTACAGGTTTAGACTGCTAGCGATAGCGTAACACCCTACTCCTGTTCTTGGTTGGCTTGATATGTATATGAGATGCAATACGGTGCTCATGGTGGCTAAATGGGGCGCTCGGGGTATAGACTCATGTTGCCTGAGCACCAGTTCTTCTTCCTATCTCCTCTAGCTAGTGATCTTGGATCTCGTGTTGCTTGTGATGTGGCTTTCTTGTTCGATCCTCTATAAATGGCCATGACCCTCCCCTTATATAGGCCCGGGGTACCACAATGGCACACTTGTACGTCTGGACATTACAAAGAATGGTGAGCGCCCGCCTTGCATAGTCTTCTTTGTCTTCGGTTTTGCAGGGGATAACCTGGTGATGTAGTCGTTAGGTACTCAAGTGCACCCGACAGTCTGTCATGTCATGTGGGTCCCATCTGTCATTATACCCGCATTAAATGCACAGTCGGGGATGTGGCACACCATGGCCATGGGATCCGTTCGCATACACGACACATGGTGCCGATGCTCAGGACACCGATCACTCACTCTGGGCGTCACGGCTGATGTTTTTGGACTCAGTTTAACCGGGGTGGGATTTACTTAGGGCAAGTCTTCACAAGGATCTGTACGCGGCCATGGGTATGTACTGGAATAATATCCTTCTGGATGTTGTAGTATTCTTTAGGGGAATGAAATTCCGATGTGCCTTTTCCGTATATGGACGTGGCATTTGGGCTCCATCTGTCGGTTCGGTTTTTATTATGCCGACAACGACTCTGCTAGACCGCCCATTTTGACTTGCGACCATCATCCGGCGGTTATTATGGCTATCCACGTGATATGATGACTATGTTATAATTGCTTTTACAACTTACTCGAAAGGATATATTACTCGAAAGGAAACATAAGTGCTCACGCAAGCGTTGCATCTCGAACCATGACTCGGGCATTCACCAGAGATCATCCTATCTCACCGGCATTTTTTTCTTGGTAGTAGATTCAACCATACATAATCCATATGGATATGACATTGTAATCTTACGTTCTATTTGCGCCACGTCATTTTGTCGGATTATTATGGAAATCAAGTTTACCCTCAACAAAAATCTGGCAACTGCAATTCGATTGAATGGAAACAAGAATGAAAAGCCAAGGCAAGAGCAAGGGACACAAAGGAAGGAGGGAATGCAAATCAAGACAAGCCAAAAAAGAAGAGAATAGAAGGGGGCAGCATACATACCAGTAGCCAGTAGGTAGTCTCCATCACTTTGACTTCGGAGCAACCGCGACCACGTCGGTAGCATAAAGCTTTCGCCCGTAGCGCAACAGCGCACGGCTGGCTCGGGTGAGAGAGACAGGGAAGGCGGAGGGGGCGGAGGCTGGGCGGCAGAGGCGGCGCCGTCACTCTGTTCTTGCGCTCATCTCCAGAGGAAGGTACACATCGATTCCTCGACCCCCGTCGGGTTCCTCCGAGATTTGTTGGGTGAATTGCGCGCGCTTGATCGGGGGCAATCGCCTCTCTCTCTCCATCCCTTTCCTCCCCTTCTCCGGCCAGCCGAAGATTGCCCGGATATACTCTGCGATTCTGCCCCCCTTTTCCCTTTTTCTTCTTGGAGCGGCGTGTCCAACATGTCGTCTGCCTATTCGGCGATGATAAGAAGAATATCAAGATTGGATTTTCTTCTTCTTCTTCTTCTTCTTCTTTAGAAATTCGAGCTCTTTTAGGTTTTAGAAAAGCCCTGCCTGATCTTTTCAAGTGTAGTATAATTTAGCTGTATTTATTTGGAGAGTGTGCTGTTCTATTTCTTCCAGAGCACCAGTAATTGATGAAAATTTGTTCTTAGTCAGTCTAGAAATACAAGGAGGAATAATGCACTGCAATCATCAGCTTCTATAGTAATTTAGTCGGAACGCAATTCTGAATGCTCCTTCAGTTAAGATGATAAATTGATAATCAGAACAGGGTTTCTATCTGCAGTGTTGCATTGATTGATTAATCACAGTGTTCATCAGCTGCAAATTGCTGCAGGGGAGCGTCACGGTTCAGCAATGGCAGCTCCGAATACCTACGCCGTCCATCTCTCCTCGGAGACCCACAAGATCGAGGCCTGGTGCGAATCGGACGAGGCTTTGGCTAAGCAACTGCAGGAGGAGGAGGATTCGCTCGCTACAAGGGAATTTGCCGGTAATAATATAGTGGTGCTACTACTCCCAATCTCCGAGCATCTTTTGCGTTGTTTGAGGTGGATTCATTAGCTGTAATCAACTGATGCTCACGCGTGCTACATGTTGATGGTGCATTGTTTTTAGGCAGCGTGTCCTTGGAACCATCATCACCAGCTGTTGAGTATAGGCCTGCCAATAATGCAGCTCAGGTTTGTTGCTTCTCTACTCTTTTGTTTCCTTTGGTTGCCTCATTGGGATCATCAGCACATTCCTTGGAAAGGGATTCCAAATGTGTGCACTGAATTTTTTGAAGGGGTCACGGAATGATGAGTTGATGACAATCTGCATATGCAGGTGGCGACAGAAGATAATGTCGATCCGGATAATATGTCATACGAGGTATGCTGTTTTGCTTTTGCCGAGTAAACGTTCTTTGACGGTTTTGAGAGAACAAACAATTTTCTGAACACATATTGTGCCAATGTAGTTCACTTATATATACTACCTGCTCCCATACAAAAGGTTTAAGGTTGTGTTATACTACTACTTTGTTCCCTTGATTTGACATCAAAAACAATTGGGCATAAAGAGACACACTTTGATTGACATCTTGTAGCACATGAAAAATCTCATTTCTGAGCAACTTTTCACTATTGTTTTGGTGATTCGTAGCAACTGCAAGCAATCGGTGAAGAAGTAGGAACTCAGTCCAGAGGATTATCTGATGACCTGATCAGCTACCTGGAGCCTTTTAGGAACAAATGTAACTTCTTCTCCTGCAAAAAGAATACCGATGAGTACGTGACAGTTAGTTTTACTCTGAATCGATCATCATTTTGTAACCCTATGATGAACAATAATCGTGTGATACCCCCATGCAGATGTGTGATCTGCAAATCGAGCTATAAAAGCCTACAGAAGTTGATAAGATTGCCCTGCAGCCATTGTTACCATGCAAATTGCATAACTCGCTGGCTTAAGATTAACAAGGTAAAACTCAGTTTTTTTTTCTTCTCTAAGTATTCGATTTTATTTTGGTATGCTACAATTCAAATACTCCCTCCATCCCAAAATAAGTGACTCAACTTTGTACTAACTTTAATGTAAAGTTGTACTAAGCTTGAGACACTTATTTTGGGACGGAGGGAGTATAAGTTTTTCGTCCTCAATGAATAGATGCTGAATGTTGATATTAACCTGCCATGTCGCTGGACAAAAGCAGACATTGTCTGGACTCCATATCAAAATTCTCTGTTGTCTGATATCTTGGTGTACAATCCTCTGTTGTTTGATATTCAGAGGATTATCTGATTCTTTTTCCGATATATGCACCTTTGTTTTCATTCAGGCATGCCCAGTCTGCAATGAGGAGGTATTCGGTTAACTTGCGATGTTAGTGGAGACGTTGTGGCCTCCTCGCCGCATCATGATAATGGACAATCTTGCTCTCCTATAGCCTATTATACTATAAAATACTTGATGGTCTACCGTGCTTTAAGAACAAATGTATTTCGGATCATGCCATGTTTGATGTCCCCCAACTTTGTTTTGTCATTAAGGTAATGATAAATATGTGCGGGCAGTGGGTTATATAGTTCGCAATTTTCCGAGAATGCAACCGAGCAGGAGCAGCTAAGTAGATGATGTGGTTTGCTATGTCTTGCACAGTCTTTACATCAGCCCACTGTGTAAAGTCCGAAGCAAGATTTGTAAATGTTTATATAGGACGTCTCTTTTTGACTTTGAAAGGTTCAGACAAGTGTGTTCTGAGGTTTCCAAAATTTTGGGAACAAATCTTGCATGTAAAAATTATAATGGAATGAACTGTGTTTTTCGCAAAGTTCTGCGAATATGAGTTCATTTGTGGTCTGCGTTACGATGATAAGCATGAAGTGTCAAAAATAACTATATGTGATGTCCTTTTTTCTTCACCCAGGCCACAAAAAGGCGAGCTTTTTCATGAAGCATGACCATTTCACCATATAACTATCTCCATTCGGGATACTTTTTTTTTAGAAATTTTCTGGAAGCACAAAAGGAAATTAGTAGAGTATGTGTGAGCCCGAATCGCCTACAATATATCCATGTCGTGTAACACTATTCTTTTATGTTTAATTATTTCAGCAAAAAATTGGGCATGATTTTCTGAATCAGAAGCTAGGCAATGACCTATTTTATTAGCAGATGCTAGATGAAACTGAAACACACAGATCCCAATCTAGAGTAGGAACTCATTCCTACTATTACTTCCGCCAGAAGTGACGTTGTTTTAGTTCAATTTCTGAATTCTAGTGGAATTTGGATCACTTATTTCCGAACGGAGGGAGAGTAATTAATACTGTATCAGTTAGTTCTTTTGTTCAGCAAGGAGAGCTTTAGTGGAATCTGGATCTCTGCATCTTCTCAGTGGACATTTTATTTGCCATCCTTCTCTTCTCTGAGTGATGTTGCAGCTTGGGCACAGCAAAGGCTGCACACCCATATTAACAGTGGCGTACCCAGGGGGTGTGCCAGGTGTGCCATGGCACACCCAGATTTTTGGAAGATATTTTTTCACCATGTAAAAATTAGCTTATTTTTAATGCCCATGCAAGCTAATTGCAATAGACTTCAGTTTTCTTAACGTGTGCACATCCTCCATTTTATTTCTTGGTCCGCCACTGCATATTAATATCCTTGGATCCTGGAATTAGCATTGGATCTCAGTGTCATTGGTTGCTTAAACAATGGTGATCGACTGCAAATGGTACTGATTAATAGTTAATAATGAATCATGGAGCATGATCCAGTGCTGACACTGATCCACTCCAATCCGGTGTAGATTCCTGTGCTGATAGATGTTCTTGTTGGCATCTCATCTTTTAGAAAGTTTAAGGTGTTCTTTCCCTGATTAATAATCATTCTCTGGTTGGTTGTATAAAGTTGTAAAGTGTGGGTGTGGTGTCATGCAACCAACATCACAAATCTTATCTGGGTTCGCTGTCACGCATGATCTCATCCTCAGTGTCAGCAACAGGTGTTTAGCACCAGAACAGGCCGTCCTTTGTGCAATGGCTATGTTGTCATGAGCACACCCCATCCCCACCCACACGCCCCAAAGGAATGACATGTCCCCAACAAACAATTTTCCACCGGTGTTTTTGTTTTGCTATTCAGGGCCTCTTTGCTTTGAATTCGATGCAGTTATTTCTATGAAAATTGGCGGTACAAAACTTTAGTATGAGGACTAAAACAAAAGTGCATATAGTTTATTATATTTGATTATTTTTATTGTTGTACAAAAAATCGAATATAAATAGCATGCAAGGTGCATGCTAAGGTGGTCCTTTCCCTGCATAGTCTCATGGTGGGTTGACATAGTTACATGTTAACAGGATTAAATTTTATGGGACATACATGGTGGCATACTGAGTTGACATAATTGCATGTTAAGATAATTGAGTTAGTGAAGATAAACTATTTAAGTATATAGGATTTGTATAGTTTCAAATCCTTGAAACATTTCTTGTATTGTTGTTTGATTTGTTGGACCAGAAAGGAAGTTGAGGGGAATTTGATTCAACCAAGGTTTGGAACACAAGGATCAGGTGCCACAGAACATAGCAAAGGCAAACATGTAGATCTGTCACAAACTCACAATTTACAAGGTGTGACATGCTTGATGCTCCTATAGGGACAAGAGGAAATAAAAGATCACTCACCCCTCCAATTACATTTACATTACAGGATTGAAAAAATACCGACAGCCGCAAGCACACGACGGAGGAAGTAAGCAAAACCATATAGTTTCTATAGATATCGAGCTTAATGTGCTCACTAAATCTACTCATAACTTCCAGTTCCCTTTTTCCGCGCAAGGCATTTGGGTTTTATAACCACTGAATCCATACACAGGCCTCCTTTTGTGTGTGTGCAATCTATCTGAACCATTGCAAACTGGATATTCAGTGGCTCGTTCGAGTCCTTCACGACGAAATCGCCGACATGATGATAGATCCAGACACCTGGATCAGTTAGGTAACACTTGGACTGGGCCTGCTGCCCGTCCGAAGTCGATAGCTGGAAGCGCACCGGCTTGACGTCCCACCCATGGATGTGCTCGGCACTGTAAACCCGGCGACCGAGCCGCTTGAAAGGCCTGCCTAGATGAATTCGGAAAAACAGGCTGTATGTACCTTCTGGGAAGCAGAACTCAACCTCCCCTCTGACTTCAAACCACCAGATTTGCGACAGATAAGCAACCGAACGGAACCTGCAGAAAAAGCAACATGCTTATCAGGACTTCTCTTATCTGCCAAATGTTTGGAACATTGTGGCTCTATAACCACACACACTTGTACCGTATTTGAAATGGATATGCGTTGTCGTTGTATGCCAGTAAAGCAAACATGCTCAATTATCTCACATGAAAGGCATGATTAACAAAGCAAACATGCTCAATTATCTCACATGAAAGGCACCAATGCATCATCAGAAACCACTACTGCTTATCATGTCCCAACTGGCATACATTTCAGAGGCCACTGCAGATAATCACACCCCTAGTTGGTGACATGTGGAAGTAGTGTGTTGTTCACAATCCCGCCTTCTTTTCGCTTTTATTATCAAGACAAGCTAACTAACTGTCAGTTGCAACTTGTAACACGAGTTGAACACAGGGAGAGTTGATGTAGTTTGCACTATTTGGTGTTCTTATTAAGTGGCTATAACATACGACAAGTGAGCACTACGAATAGCGGGAAGTGCTGCTCAGCTTCGGCGATACGCACCCGGAGTTCAGAACTTCAGATACTCATCCACAAACAAAAAAGAAAGAAGTCATGGCATGAAGTTTCTATTAATGAGGCCCATTATAAGCTGTTGTATTTGGTTTTGATGAAAGCACCTTGATTCATCATTTGGAATGAAGTTCCAGTATCTCCTGTCATCGATGCCTGTTATCGAAAGCGCCCTCGAATAAATTGTCATGCAGGTGCCTCCACCAGCCTTGTCGAGCCAGAACTCCTGCACAATGAACCAGATACTGAATTTCATTTGCAGTAGCAATAACAAATTAGCAAACAGTAATTCAAGGAAAACAGAACAAATTAATCAAACAAGTTCATCTTCAAAATCGGCGTTGAAACTAATCAGACTTCTCCGTAAACCTTATTTTAAACTCAAATTCCTGCACTTTAGTAACACAAACTTCACCCCAAAATAAACTCATATTGCTGCACCTTTATTAACACAAACAATACCCCCAAACAAAACTCAAATCCCCGCAGTTCTATTAATTTGCAGGCATACTGATTTGCACAAGGTTTTGTCATAAATTTTTAAAAGAAATTGCGGGGAAATTTTCAATATTTTTAACAGATACAGTGGCGATGTTCACCGCAAAGATGGGACAAAGTACACACCTTGGTGCCGCCGTCGAGGGAGTTGCGGCGGGAGAGCCGCGCGTACACCTCCTTCTTGGGGATGGCCTCCGCCTCCAACGCGGCGGCCTCCTCGTCTCCGGCGGCGGCGGCGAGGAGGCGCGCGTAGTTGCGCGGCAGCTTGGCCTCCCAGACGGCGTCCCCGGACGCGGCGGCGCGGAAGGTGCGGCTGAGCCGCGCCATCCCGCAGATCTCCGTCGGGTTCAGCCTGAGCATCACCTCGGCGACGCAGTTCTCCGGCAGGTCCCCCAGCGCCGTGCCCCCGCCCCGGCTCGCGGACGACCCCACGGCGCCCATGGATGGATGACTCGCTCGACCGAGAAGAAGGGAACAGCCGCCCGCCGGGAGCTCAACAGTAGAGGGTGAGCAGCTTGGAGAGCAGCAGCAGGGACGCCGGCGACTTGGAGAAGAGCGGCGTGTTACGCCTCACCGCCGAAAGGCCCATCCCTCCGGTGCCACTGCCACCTCGCTTGCCGTCGGAAAGCGGAGAACCCCCGGCGTCGTCGCCCTGATTCTTGTTCCGCCCGACTGTGGCTGGTCGATCGAGGAAGGTTCTGGCTCCTGAGCTTGCTTTATGCGCTCGGTTGCTTGACCTTGGCGTCTGCCGGGTTAGGCTGGTGCTGAGGCAGGGAGCGGAAGCTGGGTAGCGGCTGCGCGAAGGGAGTGGAGGTTGTGG